ATGTATCATTAAATACACATACTCAAATTTGCACAAGAACTCTGTCGTAGGGCGACACATACATATTTCTAGAAAACACTCTTCCTCTGTACACGATAGTCCTCGGGTTTGTCATTAACATAATTAAAGGCGCCGGATCATGCATGTTTAGATTAATAGCAGATCCTGTGCACGGAGAGCATGAATAACATTCATGAATTGAGTCTGTATAAATAGACCAACATTTTAAACTAGAACTCCATCGGACATGGCCCGAAAGGGGTTTAATATTAGATTTTACGTTGTATGTATTGTAAGAAACCAAGATAATACATAAGTTTATATCCAGATTCGGCTATGATCCGAGTTTGAAAAAATCAGGAATAAGAACTAAAAGAATAAGAAAGCGAGTAAAGCTACCCAATGCTTCTTGCATTCATGCCAATGCTTTTCACCACTGGGCAATGCCCAGTGGTGAAAATTTTGTTATTTTCAGGATCGATCTCGACTCATTAATTCCGTATGTTCTTGCATTGCTACACTCAATACGAGAAGATTGCCTACTTATAACTAGGTAATTGCCTATATTTTCGTATAATTACGAATTTATAGTATATGGAAGGATCTCAACCAAGAAATTTTTGACGACCTAATTTTACAAAAAAAAACAAATGGAAAGTTATCCTAATCTCTGTGAGAATAAAAACAAAGGCTGCATTCAAAAATATAAGTCTTTTCCCATTTTGCGTATCCATGTTTACAGAACGGCAAAATCTTATTCTCAAAAGGCTTCTTCGTTACAACCCAAATATTGTCTTTAACCTAGCCTTTTATCGATAGTACTGGATCAATTTCAAATAACCTGCCACTTTGCATTGAGGATTTGATATTAGACTTACACTAATTTGTAATTACGCCCTGCATATTCAGCGATGAATATGAATTATTTAGATGTGCATCTGCAAAGTACTTACGTAATACATGCATATCTTTGAATAATTTAGAAATATATCCTCCTACCGATTTTAGGATGCTTTCTAGTACAATTCATAGGTACACAAATCTACATAATTATTTAAAACTCAGAAACTACATACGTACAATTGTATCATCTCCTTAATCACCTGTCACTTTAAAGTTACATGACTAATAATGTTGAGACCGTGTACACAAAATCAATTAATAGCGTGACAATGGAAACTATACATACGTACATAAACTAAAGTAACGTAAAAAAAAGTCGAAATATATTTATTTAGTTCTCACGGTGTAAAGTAAAATTCAGACGGGCCTCGGCTGACTTGTGGCTGAAATATATCTCTTGATTTAATGGTCTTAATTCTTGTCTGGGGGGTTGGATGGGAGATGAGACACGTACCTATATTTCCGGTCAGTAATTCCAGGAACGAGGCAAGTTCCGATTCTAAATTGTGGAATAAAATGCGAAGTAAATTTCTCTTTAAAATTTTGTTTTAACGCGTACTATGTATGTAATATTTAATTTAAAATTGCCTTACAGATTTGCATTATTCGTATCTGCGACCTTCTATTGACTACATTGACGTTGAAATATGGATGTAATGTCTTGGAATCTGGAAAATTTCAATTTGTTAAGAAATCTCAGTTAGCTTAAATATTTAAATTCTTACAATGATAAATAAAATTACGAATTTATTCATACAAACATACATACATAATTGTGTACATTTATTATTAGTGTTTGTACGCATGTACATGACGGCCAAGTATTGCATTATCTGTAATTGTCTTAAATAATTTGAAGGTAAATCGTCACCCGCGGAGGTACTATATTTAATGTAGTCTTTTTGGGTAATGATTAGGAAGTCGTTTTGTCACCAGTGGGAAATAAGTAAAAAGAAAACTCTTCTACCAAAGATACGTGACGTTGTTATTTAAAAAAATATGAAATATTTTAATGTGTATTAGATTTTTTTATATGTAAATATGTAAGTGTTTAAATTTTTAATGTCATGCCTGTTTGGCACATATATGAGTTTTTGACTAATTTCCAATTGGTGACAAAATGTCTCCTTAACCATTACCCAAAAATAGTGCATTAAATATAGTACTTCCGTGGGTGACCCACTAACCCCCAAGTATGTATTTAGTTTATGCATATGCACATTATCAGTAAATATGTATGTATGTTAAGCATTTAAGCCGTTAGCCACTACGGCTCCTTAATTAATCAGAGGTTTTAGACAATTTTCATAAATTTAAAAAATACTTGCATCTGTGTAAAATCCAGGCTATTTGAAATTAGAAGCCTAGAAAGATTTCAAGTAAATAATTATTTATTTTAGAGCTTACCTTACACCCTAATTTTGTCCATGGTGTGAATATTTTCTCAAAACTGAGAGCATACATAGCTCTGGAATTGATGCAAAATTTGACACGCGATCACGCGTGAACCCTCTTTCCTTATAAATTTGTCAGACATGGGTATTCTAACAATTTAACGTATTTTTAAAAATTAGTAAATTCTGAGGAGCAACTGCCAGCTTCCTCCCGTCTCCACACTAAGACAACGCCCAGTATTTCACTTGTTACGTAGTCAAACTTAGGATTAGCCTTTGTAACCATGGCGACAGGATAAGAGTGAGTCATGTCTTCCTAGTAAGCAAGGACTATCGTGTACCTAATCGGTCTCAAAGTCCCTTGACAAATTTGTTGCATAAATTCCTTTGGTCGGGATACTCATTAAAATTAGAAATGACTAGAATAATTGTTAGTGCAGTCATGCGTAAAAAATCAAAGTTGTTATTCTGTCCAAAACGAAAATTAAAATACTTCAGAGTAGAGTTGCCGGTGAGCTGAGTTCATCTCATCTCCTCTCATGTGAAGATGAGTTTGAGATGAGATGAGATGGCCGCTAAATGAGATGAGAACTCACATGAGACAGATAAAGTGAGATGAGATGAGATGAGACGAGCTGTCATGAGATGAGATGAGTTTAGTGAGACGAGATCAATTCATTACTAAACATTAATCACCACTCAATTTGCGAACTTTAGGGGTGTAACGAAATCAAAATTCATTTTTGAGAACTTTGGGGGTGTAACCAAGTAAAAATTCATTTTTGAGAACTTTGGGGGTGTAACCAAGTAAAAATTCTTTTTTTGGAAATTTTCGGGGTGTAACCATATAAAAATTCATTTTTGGAAACTATCGAAGTTTATATAAGTCAGAATTATTTTTTGGGAACTTGTGGGGTGTATGTAACTAGGTTAAAAGTCAACCATAGAAACTTTGGGGTGTATTTTGTGACCAAATCAAAATTCATATTATAATATCGAAATTTTGATACATATTAGAATTTCGAAAATTCGATATTGAAATATCGAGATTACATGCCCTTGTCACTACATCATTACTTTTCTATAGGAATTTTAGGCAAAATATTGCGTATGAAGCGCTAAATGAGCCATCTCATCGCATCTCATCTGAGCATGAGATGAGATGAGATGAGACGAGCCAGAGTTTTGACGAACTCATTTAATTCTCATCTCATCTCACCAGGTAATGAGATGGGGTGAGATGAGCTCTGTCTCACTTCATCTCATCTCACCGGCAACCCTACTTCAGAGAGTCAGACAAATAAGAATCTGCATAGGTGGGCAAAAAGTGAATTTGGTGAAATCCCAGTCAAACCAGGGTGCACATTCATGTGGAAAGTTTCACATTTAAATTTAAACACTTCACGTGATTTAAGTACGTGCAGCAAAAAAGATTTGTCACAGGACTTTATGACCAAGTAGATAAGAAAATAATGCCCAGAGTACGGAGAACTCGGAGAAGTCATCGTGACAATCCTTACGACCCATGAGAAAGGGACATGTGTAAATAAATATCACGCGCTGGTCATGCCATAGATCTTGGTACATATGCAATAGTAGCGAAATCTGATTCAAGAGACGAGCATGAGGAATGTGGCATTTTTTTTATTGGTCATTACATATGTAACTCCGATCTGTATGCATAAATATTTCCATGAGTGATGTTGTTGACAAAGTAGATACCTACATATGTTCATACAAATGAGGGTTGGGTATGGGCCTGGTGAAATAATTAACATCCTTTACGCACGTCCAGTCCCTGAAGAGATTACAATGACGGAAAAATATCGACAAAAATATGTATCACACTTCAAAGTTTTTGTACTTGATCTCTTATCATTTACCCGAATAAGAAGTTCCTGGATTGGTTAGGGGTGGTATTATCAAAATTACGGCTCAGCGAAACCGCCAGTGCAGCTTAAACCGCACGTGGTCTTACCTTGCTCTCCATTACTCACTTAACATGAACCCTTCCACTCAACCAATATGAACAATTAGTGAACGGTGGAAAGGTTCACTTGAAGGCGAGGTAATTAAGGTTGCAGTATGCAGCCCAGTGATTGGCTCCCTTAAGTCACGAGGCAGTTTAAACTGCTCAGCGGTTTCGCTGAGCCGTGATTTTGATAATATGTACCATAGAAAAGCAATGATTCATAAGTACATATGTAGCATGAAATAATTGTGTAAGCAATTGAAAAAAAAAACAAATCGAAGTTTTTACCTGGTGAGCGGAGATTATGTTTCATACATACTGCAAATTTATATTTTTCGTATAAAAATTCACATATTTTCAGCACTCTAATTATATACACACCCAGAATGATGCAAATATGCACGCATGTCCATACGTATGTATGGACATAAGTACGACGAATTAGTTCCACCAGACGGTGTCAACTTCCGTCCCGTCGATAAAAACATACATAGTTTACCAGAGTTTTATGATTCTTGACACATGACACTTCCCCAAGCAGTATGAAAGAATAAGAATTCATCATATTTATGTAATGTAAAGTACATTTTAAATTTGTAAGAAGCATGATTAGGATTTGGACAAAGGATAAAGATAAATAGGAATGAAATGCTTGTCTAATAATGCAAAAATCTACAAGTAGACATTTACATACGCTTGTATTTATAACAAAATTTATCACCTTTTATTTCTAAAATTTAAGCATCGTTCGGAAACCAATATTTTATAGTAGCAAAAATTGTTCACATGAATAAAATCATGTACGTATGTAGTTCACAATTAGCCAAACATGTGGCTGAAGGGGTCATCTTGCACGTCGGTCAGTGTTATTTCAAACGTCAGGGTGGAATCTGAATTAAAAATTGGGATTATTTGAATACTTTTTAAAAAAGTCACGTCTAATTTGGATAGGTATGTAAATGAGGTCATACTGGCCGGAATTTGTCCGTAGGGTTCACTTCCATACGCCAAATCGGGTGGGATGACGATATAACGCTTCTCGCCCTTGCACATTTTCATCGTCCCAATCTCGCATCCTTTGATCACATCGCCATTCCCCATAATATACGTCATGGGTGTCTTCCGATCATACCTGAGAAAACAGATTTATTTTTGAACAGCAAGCTCATAAATAATAAGATACATTTTAATTTTAATTTTTGCCACACGGCAAAAACGCCCGTCGGTATTTCAGTACGGGCGTATCAAAAATCGCATTGCGAGCCATCCGTACTTAAATTTAAATACATTCCTACGTGCACGGAGTGCGATTGTACTTCGGTTAAGTACGGATGGCTCGCAATGCGATTTTTGATACGTCCGTACTGAAATACCGACGGGCATTTTTTGCAGTGCAGGAGGAAATTGAATATATAACTCGGATGTTTGTAACCTCGCAATCTTGACAATGGAAAAGCTACAAATAATTATTAATGTTTACATACATGCACACTAACATACATACATACATACATATGTACATACATACATATTGCATTTCCTGGATTAGTGGTAATCCAGAGATGTACGAGATATAAATATGTACATAAGTACATAAGATTACCAAGATTACGAAGGCAAACTCTATAAAAAGTGTAACATAAGTGAATTTGAACAATAATTTTACGAAATTTCAACTTTTTCAGGGTTCGGAAAAACAAAGTAAATTTATTTAATTTTTTACTATGATTCTAAAATTTATACATAATTTGCACCTTTTTTTCTTACAACCTGTTTATTTATATTTTCTGGATCCATTGTAAACTTAATAACCTTGAAAGAATTAAATACTGCCAATGACTGATACCTTTGTTAATCACATTAAGATATTTAACTTTAGCATGGTCAAAATTGTACCTATGCTAAACGCAAATTTACAAATTTTTTTCGCCCTGTAAATAAATTTTCACATTTGTGTAACTTACGTCGAATCGAATTTCTCCCCATTCAGAAACTTTCCAATGTATTCCGTGGTCAAGAAGTCCTTCTCTTTAGATCGGTACTTACAATCTGGGGGTTCATACAGCACCTCGATTTCCACACGCTGGTCGACATACTTCTTGTTGGCGGCCTGAACCACACCCAAGTAAAGAATCACCCCAATTTGCAGCCACACCCAGATGTGTGCCATCCCAGAAATTTTGGGTGTCCAGATGGTGTCAAGTTAAGTGACTACGACAACAATATATTTTACGCCCCCTAAAATAAATCGCAGACTTCCGGGTTTGAGTGCAGCACTGCAGTTTAAATGGAGTTGATGAGACAATGGACAATTGTTTATTGTTGATAAATTTCCATCTCTATTAAAGCAAAGTGTTTTTGAAGAGGGTGCCCTATGTGCTCTCACTTTTTGTAGATTTATCCAATATTGTACTTAGCATGCCCAGGGTAACTGGGAGTGAAATGAAACACTGTAGCTTCAAAAGTTTTTGTGCTACAAATTTCTAGTAAATTTTACTGGAAAGCCAGTTAATTTCTGCGTAGGAAACATTTTTTTGTTTTTGAAATTTCCTCCCCCTGCAACAATGCAGCGCTGAAGACCCTGCCTACAGTCCTCGCTTCGAACACGCACTAAATCCGTGGGCAAATTGTGTCATTCTGTGGTAAAAGATTTTTCTAAAGCTTCCAAACGTCTATGAGGCTTAGAACATACTTTTAGCCTAACTTTGACTATTTTTCTTAATCCAGGGATCTAAATCCAGCCAGGACGATTGTCATTCCAAAGTGGAGATAAAGTCCGGAATTTAGTTTTTTAGCCACGCTTGGATCATTTTTTGCACTATGTGCTGGTGCTGAGTCCTGCAGGGAGGTCCAATCGATTCCATAGAAACGGATCTCACTTAGGGGATGTACCACGGACTCGAAAACATATTTTAAGAAATCTGACCCCCCTGGATAATGTGATTTTTTGACCTTTTGTCTATATTGGGGGATGTCTTTGACCGATTTGGCGTAGATTATGTCAACTCGTTTGTTAAAAGATTTTCCCGATGTGAAAATCTCCTCATCTGTAAAAAGAATCCTCTTAATTTTTTTGGAGCGTACAGCTTGAGGAGTTTCGTTTCTTTAGCATGGCTTTCTTTAAGGGTTTGATCAGGGGGTGGCAAGTAATGCGTTTCAAAGCCCAAAGCCTAAGGTTCAGGTTGAGCACTCGTTGGATAATGTGCATCGACAATGCCAGCTGTGAGGCTATTTTCCGTTGAAATTTCGGTAATTTCTTTAGATTCTAGCCTTCAGCGCCTTCACGATGGGCGTGGTCCTTGTAGGCTTTAAAAAAAATTTCTTCGACTGTTCTTAGTCGATCCGGTCTTTATGAACGTGTTTATACTCCGTTGGATTAAATTAAAGTACACGTTCGATTCCTGCCACACTTTTCAAATTGACTACTTCTCACCCCATTTTTTTAGTGGAAAATTTTCGCCGTCCGCTTCCATTCAATATTTTCCATTCTAATCTGCTTTGCGGTTAGCAAAAAAGGATTTCTGGTGCTTATGCAAAATCGCACGAGGAATCCAATTCACTCATCAGATTTTTATTATCTTTAGCGGTTTCGAAGAAAATGACTACTTACACTTAACTTGGCATACTGTGTAGATTTAAGTATGTATGTACGTACATAAATACGTACACTCTTAGGAAAGCAGGGTTAAAATCCACAAAAAAATCAGAACCGTCCTTCTGTGATAAGGAACACATTACCGGCATGGAAATAATATTGCCACTAAAAACAAAACCTTGCACATAACACCACATACAGACATTAAACTGAACCACATTTTGCGGTATCAAGTTCAATACGCTACGGAATAAAAAATCTAACACGATTGGGTTGAAATTAACACCCCATCAACACAAGAGCGAGTGGATTGAGTGATTGATCGGATCAGATGTGCTCGGATTAATTACCCATGTACATATGTATATAACATTTACGAGCCCCCACTTTTAAAAATTTGTTCACCACTTCCCCATTGTTCCCTCAGAAGGAGTGGTAGTGAAAATTCGGAGAGTTTGATCGGCTTTAGTGACCTTTTAGGCCTTACCGAATTCCGTGTTTTTCTACTGGACTTCCACCCCTGTTTGTACTAATGGACTCGTTTCTCCCTCCACGTCACAACTAATATCCAAACGAAGGATACCCACTACTCTATTAGTGAAGGAGGGTGGTCCCTGCACCCCCAGGGCACGGCGCGGAGTACTGAGTGACCGTTACCTGCGGGGTCGGCCATTCTCATGCACTTTATGTGCCTGAATTAGGCAAGAAATTTTTTCCATTCATTTTTCTTTGGAGGAAAAATTGACAAAAATAAGACAAAAACATTAATATTTCTTCTTGTCCCTGTGCGAGTCCAATTGGCCTCTCTTCGCGTTCAGAGCCCACAATAGGTCGACATGTCATCACGGGACGGGATTTCGGGAGATCCTCCCGACCACGAATCACAACCGAGCGAGACGTCGTCAGCGCCACCACGACCGAGGGGCCGACCCCGAAAATCGCTTATGGACCGTGTCACTGCGATTGGGGACGTAGAAGAGGATACCACTATATCTGATACGGTTCCTCCCGTGCCTTCAATTTCTACTAGCAATAGTCCTGCTCCGTTGGACACCTCATCCCTCTCCGTCTCTGCCCGCCGCCGAACCTCGGTCTCGCCATCATCTTCTGGCGTGACGAAGAAGGAAACATTGGTCTCCGCTCGCCGATGGATTCAGCACTCCCTAGTTCCGGACCGGAACTCGCGAATAAGGAAGGCGGAAGTTTTCACCCGCTATGCAATTTTTGTGGATCAGTCGGGAGAGGGTGGAGTCGCCGAGACCACCCTCGGAAAATATATCAAGGAGTTGCTGCCCGAAGTTGTCAGTCGTCGAACAACTGGGCAAGACGCGCACACCTTCTTCGAAGGCATTAGGTGGGTCGACTCACCACCATCTGGGGAGACAGTGCCACAGGATTGGGGGGAAGTCTTAGCTCGACTCAAGATGACCACACCCACACTGCGACGAGTTCCGAAAGGGGCGAGAATGGAAGTTGCTCGTGCCCTAACGAAGGTTTTGGAGAAGGTAACCACAACCAAAACCGAAGAATCATGGGGCAAACTATTTCTTTTCCCCTACGTAAGCCTTCCCGTTCCCCAGAAGACAGATAAGGTCAAGAATTTGACGACGTGGGTCAAGTCAGGAGTTGCCCGGTGGTTGTTGGACCAGGCAGCCCCACCGCCACGACTCCCACGACCTCCCGCCAAGCCCCCTCGAGAGTTAGAAAGTGTGGCAAAGAAAGTGGAGGCGAAACTGGCGGATGGTGATATCCGGGGGGCAATAAGGCTTGCCTGTTCCGATGACACGATAGCGCCCAGGACTCAAGAGACAATTGATGCACTCATCAGTAAGCACCCGCCACACCCGGAACCGACAGAATTCCCAGAACCACCTAATAACTCAACGGAAACACCAGCGGTGGACCCGATAGAAATCACCACCGCCATTTCAAGCTTTCCGCCCGGGTCAGCTGGAGGCCTTGACTCCCTTCGCCCCCAAATTCTGAAAGATTTGGTCGGACCTGAGCAGGGGGAGGTGGGGGAAAAACTAATTGAGGCTATCCTTAATTTGATAAATTTTGTTCTCAGCGGAGGCGTGCCAGCCACATTCTGCCCTGTTTTCTACGGAGCCTCCCTCACCGCCCTAAAGAAGAAGACTGGAGGTATTAGACAAGTGGCGGTTGGGTATGTGTGTCCGCCTTTCCGCCAAAATCGCACTGAAGAGGATGTCGTTCGACCTGGTGGAGTACCTTGCACCTCATCAACTGGGGGTGGGGGTAAGGGGTGGTGCAGAAGCAGCGGCACATGCGGCCCGCATCTACTGGGGATATGCCCATACGACACCAAAGGTTTTCTTGAAAGTGGATTTCTGCAACGCGTTCAACGAGATACGGCGGGATACAATCCTGAACATTATCCATGAAAGGTTCCCCTCAATGTTTCGTTTTGTGTCACAGGCTTATTCCTCGCCTTCTCAGCTATTTTTTGGGGACACACCCATCTCCTCCCGCCGCGGGGCCCAACAAGGAGATCCGATAGGTCCCGCACTCTTCGCCCTTGTCGTCCAGCCCATTGTCCTTGCAATCGAGGCAGAACTTAACCTTTGGTATCTGGACGATGCCACTATAGCGGACACCCCGGAAAAAATACTGGTCGCGCTGGATACCATTATCCGCATGGGTGACGAAGTTGGTCTTCGCCTGAACACCGCCAAGTGTGAAGTGGGCGTGCTAGGGGCGGACGAACATTCCCGCCTTGAAATTTTGGAGCGTTTTCGTCGGGCAGCACCGGGGATACAGGAGATTTCCCCCGAAGCCGCCGTACTCCTGGGTGCTCCTCTCACCGACGAGTCGATCGAGGCTGTATTGGGGGCGAAAACCGAACAATTAGCTACACTTGGGGCCCGACTTCTCGATCTCTCATCCCACTCCGCCTTTTTCCTCCTTCGAGCATCAATCTCAACACCGCGTCTTATTTACTTTTTGCGGTGTGCCCCCACTTGGCGGAGATTTGACTCCCTCACCCTCTATGACGCCAAACTTAAGGAGTCCATGGAAGGGATTCTCAACTGTTTCCTTTCCCCGCAATCTTGGCTTCAGTCCTCCCTTCCGGTCAGTGAAGGTGGCCTGGGGGTCAGGCGTGCTGTAGACGTGGCGATTCCGTGTTTCCTAGCGTCCGCCTACAGCGCCCTGCCCCTCGTTGAGCGCCTACTTCCGCCATACCTACATGGCATCGACACCGCACAGCAGGAAGGAGAAGAGAGGTGGAACCCCATGGGACCGGGCGAACTCCCCCCGCTCGAAGTCAGGGGCATTCAGGCCACATGGGAGAAGCCTCAACAGGAAGCCGCCATCAATCACCTCAAGAATGGTGCACCAACACCGGAGGATAAAGCCTGCCTCCTTGCTATGGGACAGCCGCATGTGGGGGCGTGGCTAAATGCCGTCCCTTCGCCACAACTTGGGACGTTACTCCCAAATGAGACTTTCCGTGTCGCTTGTGCCCTTCGTCTTGGTTGTGACGTCTGCCAGCCTCATAAATGCCCTTGTGGAGCGGAGGTCACAACAAAAGGCTATCATGGCTTAAAGTGTAAGAGTAGCGCAGGTCGTCATTCGCGACACACCGCGGCAAATGACGTGATTTGGAGAGCGCTCCGATCTGCTGGAGCCCCAGCTATCAAAGA